ATCACATGCATGCAATTAAAGCAGCCTGCAGTAAACAGAAATGTCCTCACTTCCAGTTGGGTACGTGGGCCTCGTAGTCCCAGTACTCCCGGCTCTTCAGCGTATTGACGTCTGCGTACACACGGGACTTGCTACCGGCCACTGGACCCGGCATGGCGAGACCCGTGGCTCGGGCGCTGTGAGGTGTGTGTCACGGAGATCTGCTGGGGTGGGGGGGATGGTCACGGGCAAACTGGATGGAGATGTAGGGGTAGACCGGTAACTAAATTTGCTGTCTGTGTGGGTGTGAAGTGGAACAGGCCAGCCAGCTAGCTTCTCTCTGCAGCCACACTGAGAGAAAAGGGAGACAGGGTACTGGAGATGTTCGCCGGGGCTCGCCGCAATCAGTGCCCACCGAGCAGCGCTCCTTGGTCGGATTGTCAGAAGCAGCAGAGCCGATGTCGGTGGGGCTCGGGAAGGGGGCTGATCAGAGACGGGTTGATAGTGCAGCTGAGGTTACACACAGGGGCGGGGAGGCATCGGGGTGTTGAGGTAGAGAGGAAACGGACCCCTACAAGGCCACAGAGGAGGAGGAAAGGGGGTCGGTGATCTAAATACCACGGGTTAAACTCCGATGCTACTATCTTTGCGGGCCCCAAATCCGAGACGTTAGGGGAGGAAACGGGTGGGCTTCCAGCGCTAGCCGATGGACGGTCAGGGAGGGGGGGGGGGGGCCCTCGGTGGTCCAGTGTTAGCTATCAATCAACTGTTGATGTGACGGATCGGTAGCGGGGGTCGACCAGAGGGAGAGGGGGGTGGAGCAGCAGAGAGATCGATGTTGTTAGCTAACGTTAGCCAGCGATGCTACTTCAGCGCGGAGATGTCGCACCGACGGGGAGCGCTCGGCGCCGTGCACCACCATCGGCGGAGCCCGCGTCATGTGCGACCGGCTGTGCGGGGGAGCAGCGCCTCAGGGGCCCGGTACCAGCCGCCGACGGAGGGCCCGGGATTCGGGGTTTCTTCTGCAGCCACAGACCTCCCCGGTCGAAAGCGCAGGGAAGGGAAGCGGATTGCGATTGAAGAGGAGCGAGAGAGCCGCCCGGATGTGAAAGCAGCTGGCTGCCGGGGTGAAGATGAGGAATGTGATGTTCGGCTGCGCAGCCGGGACACAGCGCCCCCTAGTGACCAGGATGTGATGGAGGGGCAGAAGTTAAAGTCACGGCTTTTTTTTCCCCTTTTTGACAAAAATTATTATCAGTATTTTATCTGTATCCGGCACTAATATCTCCCCCCCGAGTAGATTTCATTGAGAAAGGAATTAGCAATATCTTAAAAATAACAGTAACACATTTAATCAAATTATGTTGTAGCCTGATATGATATCAGATATCTGACAATACACCATTAAAGGGGAACTACCACAATTTTCAAAATTCATACATGTTATTCCTGCAGTCTAAGATGGTCCAGAAAAATTGGTAAATGTGAACAACACTCCAAATCCAAAAACTAAAGTGCTAAAACTCAAATGTGTGATGCCATAGGGTCTAAAGTCTGGAACTGCTCCAAAACAATGAATTGGGAAAGATGTACAGATGACACAAATACTGATTGAACTTTTTGGTGGTGTTCCCCATTTATTAAATCCAATTACATAGTGGCCAACGGATTGTGTTTGTTTGATGTAAGCCTGCAGATCTAAATTACACTGGTGAAAAGTGATCAAGTAGATTTACCCAAGAACTGCACTTAAAGTTTAGGTAGGCAGTTTACTTTCGGCTGTTGTGGGCAAAAATCCCATAACAAATTTGGAAGTATACTGTATTTCAAGTGGTCTGAAAGAACACTCAACTTCTGCGCCTCCACTTGGCTCTGTTTTCAGGCTTCACAAATAGCTCATGAGGGGACTATGGCCGATCACAGGCCATTTTCAGAGAGAGTAGCTGTCAGTCATGTCAGTCACTGCTCCTAAACTGCGGTTGAAATGTCCAATTAGGCAGCGCCGATCAAACATGAATCAAGATTTTGTTACTGCATTGCCTATTTCTGGCCTCAAATGTTTTCAGAAACATATTGTAGTGTACTGTTTAGCTGTAAAATAAGGAAGTTAGTAACCTGGCTGCCATGTTGACAGCAGTCAAGCCAAAATGAAACACCACCCACCGTCAAGAGCAAAGTTTCTCATTTTACAGCTAAACAGTACACTATATATATATATATATTTATATATATACAATTATTTATTTTTTTTAATTTTTTTTACATTATCTGTGTCAGGTACTACTTTAAGGAAATAGTGACGGTTACAAAAAAGTAACTTTTTGTCATATTTGCTGAAAACGTTACCTACTGTAGCTTGAAATAGCTTTGAGTGTTTTCATTTTATGGCACTTATATAGTATTATTATTGTCATTATTATAATTTTATATAAAGAGAGACAGATATAATAAAAATAATCACCACCTTGTCAAGCTACAGCATGAGTACTTTTATATCTGATAACACATTTTGTAAAATTGTTTCAGAGACATTTTGTGGTATTTTTCATAACCTTTATTATAAATATTTTAGAAATTTCAAAAAAGCCAACAAATCTCAAGAACAACTCTCAAAAATCAGATGAATAATGTATTTTGGTTGATTCCCTGCTTAAATAACCGCATGACTCGCATGTAAGTTTATAAATGAAAAAAAGTTTTATTTGTTAGTGCTGTGTGTAATTGAATGCTACATACATACATACAGATAATCTTAGCATGAATGTACACGTACTGTACATTGCCACAAAGTTTTTTCTTTTCATGTTTTTTCAACATCATTCACATAAACTACAGTACAATTTGAAAAAGCTATAGGGAGGGAACAGTGCTGTGAGGAGGGGAGAGCACCAGTTCCCAGGGACAGAACACAGGAACTAACACAGCAAGCATGCAGAGAGCAAGAGACACCAGGGTCTGACGGGTTTATTTATTGAAATTGAAAAGGAAAGAGAGGATGGCGGGGGCGGGGGGTAAACTGGTGCTTAATCTGACTTTTCCCATTGAAACCACCAGCTAAAATGCAGGGGGGTGGATTATTGAATTTGTGCTTATACAGGAGATTTTCCTCTCCTTTCCCTGACTGTGTTGGATATGGGATGGAATTATTTTTTAAACCCAGATTTGCTCAAGATGTAACAGGTACACTTCTCCCTTTCACTTTGCAGTATTCCTCACTGCATGCTCAGGTTGGTCCGTTAATGTCTGACACACCTGAACAGCACTCGACGCACACAGGACTAATGCACTAACAGACAGTCGCCCTCACAAATACAAATAACTAAACCAGTGCTGCTGGGTTGGAATTCTTCTTAGGTTTTAAACGTACACTTGTACTATTATTATTACACGTTAAGTGTACTGTCTGCATTGTACAGTATGTGAGGTCCTTGTCATGCACCTGTAGTGACTACTTTTTTATTATTCACATCTGATGATGTGTCAGCACCAATTACCAAGTCCTCAAGCACTTGTAGTTCTTGGCAAATATGAACCCGCCCTCATTGTTTCCTGATGTGTTCCTGTCATTTAAGTTTTGCACCATCACCGACAGAATTCTCTGCGTCAAGATAGTTTCTTCTGTGATTTGGCTTTAGAAACAATTGTGAAAGCTGAATGCAACTCTGACAGACGTGTTAAAAAAATACAGTCATCTTTATCGCAAACGTACCCCAAGGCCCTGGTCTCTCCATGGAGGAATAAAGATCTTCATATCAATTTAATGTTTAATAAAAATAATAACAATATAGACAAATGTGAAACCATAAAAAAACATACAATAGCCTACTTCTTTAAGTCCAAGTTGTTCTCAGTTTTATAATGCCAGATTCAGGAAATAAAAACATGATGGCTGATGAAACCATCTGACCTCTCATGACGATGAAAGCCAGAGACAGAAAGCAGAAGAGGTGGAAGAGGCAGAGAGGCACGACAACCTCGTTGAAACAAAGAGAAATGAATTGCAAGCCAGAATAAACTTCCGTCTCCTTGGCCTCCTCCATTTGTATTCAACCATGAATCAACAGTGAGGTTAGGAGAGGGGAAGGAACAGCTCAAACAGAAAAAAGAACCATGGCGATCACAGCTAACATGTAAACATACTTCCAGGCTTCTTAAGAGCAACTAGAATCTCATAGCATTCAAAGAAGAGGAAAGGTGTCATTCACTCTGGTAGAAACCCCACTCTGACAGACAGACACAGCGTCCAGCTCAACGCAACATGTACAGGAAATACAGTATTAATATTTCTTTCAAAACATGGAAAATATTTAACACAAAGTGCAGGTTCGTCCTGCAGAAAGAGCTCGGACAGACCATTAAGGTTAATAATTTTTTTTTTTTTTTTAAAAAAAGGCGCAGGTCTGCTCAAACATTTCTAATACAATTCTCTACAGTCTGAATTTCCCTGTTAGACAGAATACTGTTTACATCCACACACTCAGACTCTCACACACACGCAGGGTGCTCTGTGAGATTCCCCGCAACATACCGATACAATCACTACATGGACTACAAAAAGAACAAAAGAGCATTTTGTCAAAACATTTCACATGGTAAAAAGTAGCAAGAATACGAAAACAGTTCTTACATAGTTTTTAAGAAAGACAAGCTCTGACATTATACTCACACGTCCACAGTATGTACAGGCTGAGAGAGGAAGTGTAATGTTGGACATTTTCAGCACACAGGAGTCTATCAGCACTGACGTCTGCAGGAATATGACCATTATAATAGTGTGAGATATATATTTTTTATATTTGTCTCTACTGAAGGGTGAGATTGATATCAATCCTTGATGGTTAACTTAAGCTGGTTGTTCAGTTTACACAACTTTGGGATCAGGTGCTGCTTCATACTGGTGTTTTGGTACAAACGGTAGCAGCCATAAAAATCGTGGCTCACACACATACACTCACAGACATTTCACCATCGGATTTATCTCACTATAGGACAATAAATCCCCAACCCCCCCCCCCCACACACACACACACACACACACACACACACACACTGTTTCCCTTCACATTCACTGAGGAGTTTACTGGCTACTTCATAAAGAATCAGATATGGACGCAGGGACCAAAAGAGTCAATACACAGTTTCTGTATTACCGTGGGAAACCAAAAGTGTTTTCAGTCATCCTTCACCTAACCAAAGACAAAAGACTGTGAGTACATGTGTGTCTGAGGTTTTAGTCAGACTTTCCACTCTTCCTGATACAAAACAGAGACAGGCTGAGACAGCAAGAGGAGGAAGCAAAGGACAACAAAAATGAATGAAAGAATGAGGGAGGGAGAAACTGAAGAGTGGGAAAGAAATGTTATCTGAGGGAGAGAGGGGGGGAAGAAAAACAAGGGAACGACCCCCTCTAGTGGACAGTCTAGCAGTCAGGACATTTTCTGGCCTCATCAGTTTAGCAGTTCTCTGTCTATTAAATCTCAGTACACCATAAAACATAATTAGTGCCAAACAATTTTTAAAAACAATGGCTGTCTTATTAGACAATTAAGGGACAATTCTTTTTTTTTCCCTTGTGTGAGGGGAGGACTTTAGGAGGGATATAAGTGTTTGCTGGTCAACATGCATTATGGCACCTGTTTCTGTGTGCAACAGTCTGATTAAATATGGCAGGTTAAGTGGTTGTGGCCTTTTCACTACTATCAACTGTCTGATTATAGGGCGGAGAATAAAAGGACAGGTATAAGAAGAAAATAGGTGGAACAAAAAACAAAGTGCAGGGAGAGAAAAGCTCAGGATCTGATGGAATGATGGGGTCACAGTACTAAAGGGCTTTGCGCGAGTTAGTAAAACAACAAAATCTTGATGTATCACTGGTGGGAATGAATGCAATAGTAACAGACTGGACTGTCCTGCAAATGTGGTGATAGTTAGGCTGCATAAATAGCCTAGACTGTCTGTTCAATGGAAAAAGTCTTCAAGGTTTTATATGCACTGGGGCACTGGGTAACCACCGCCATCAGCCGTGTGCTGCACCGTGTGATCCTGCAAGGAGCCCAAGTCACTGAATCGCTCACCACACCAAACACACTTGAACTGGCCTTCTCTTGAGTGCGTGCTCTGGTGTTTGGTGAGGTGCTCGCGCTGTTTGAAGCCCTTGTTGCAGTGGCCGCATTTGTAGGGTTTCTCCCCCGTGTGCACACGCCGGTGCCGGTTCAGGTCTGATGAGTATTTGAAACGTTTCTCACAGTCAGGGCACTTCAGCGGTTTTTCCCGTGATGGGTCACAGCGGTGCTGGACAAATTCCGAAGAGGACAAGAAGCGGCGGTCGCAGAGCGAGCACTTAAGGGGCTTCTCTTGGCAGTGAGAGTTTTGATGACGCTGTAATGTAGAACTCTTCTTGTAGCCCTTACCGCAAACGTCACACTTGTACGGCTTGTCCGGTGAGGAGTTGGACGACTCGCCACACTTGTGTCTGAGCAGCTCTCCTGACTGGCTGAACTCCTTTTGGCATGAGGCGCACTTGAACAGGTTGTCCATGCCGTGGACGTGCTGGTGGTAGAGGAGGTGAGAGGGCTGCATGAAGCCCTTGTCGCACAGATTGCATTTGAATGGCCGGTCAGTAGGGTCTTTGTGTGTGCGTCGGTGGCGCACCAGTGCATACTGCTGCTTGAAGCTCATCTGACACTCGTCACAGTGGAAGGGACGCTCCTCCGAGTGTGTGCGCTCGTGTTGCCGAAGGTCAGAAGGCCGTTTGAAACCCTTACCGCATGTGGCACAACGGAACGGGCGGGAACCCTGCGGGTGGCAGGGGTGGTGAAGGAGCTCCGATGACTCTTTGAAGTGCAGCTCGCATAAGTTGCATTTGAACAAGTGCTCACCAGAGTGCACGTACATGTGGCGCACGAGGTGGGAACGATGCTTGAAACTCTTTTCACAAACAGCACACTTAAATGGGCGTTCACTGCTGTGTGTTCGCTGGTGGTGCTGTAGGTGTGACGACTGGCTGAAGGCCTTGTCACATGTGTCACACTTGAAGGGCTTTTCCCCTGTGTGCACCCTCTCATGCCGTGTGAGTTCTGACAGGTGTTTGAAACCCTTCTGGCAAACGGAGCATTTGTACGGTCGGTCTCGGGCCGAGGGAAAGGGTAGAATGGATGAGCTGCTGCTGGCTGACGCCCCGTCACTGCTGGGCTGCTGGGGATTATTTGAGTTGGGTGTGATGTTGCCAGAAGAGCCAGGTCGGTAGGTCTTCTCACATATTGAACACTTCATTGGGTTGGTGCTATTATGGGATGTGTGGTGCTGGGCTAAAGAGGTAAGTAGGGAGAAACCCATCTTACACACCCCACACACAAACGGCTTCTGCTCCACCTGAACACACTGATGTTCTAGCAAGTCTGTCGCCTGATGAAAAATCTTCATGCACTGGGTGCACTGAAATGACCTGTCCTGATTCACCATACATTGATGTTCATGTGGGTTGGCCAGGTGGGATATATCATGTCCACAGGCCCCACATTTGTGTCCTTCTGTCCCCACCTGTAGGGAAGTCTGCTGGGCCTGGGCGGGGTGCTGCTGCTGCTGACTGTGCTGCCCACCTCCATGCTGCTGACTCCCACTGTGTTGTTGGCTGTGTTGGCTGTGCTGTCCATGCTGGGTCTGTTGCTGTTGCTGTAAAGACGAAGCATCCGGCTGCAGTACGATGCCATACACCGCACAGCCCAGCGCGTTCTCAGCTCCTGGAGGGATGGTGTGGACGACTTGGGGTGGAGCGACTGCATGCTGCTGCCACGCCTCTGTCATGCGGGCTCGGGTGTAGGGATTTAGTTTGGCAGCTGGTGTGGCCCAACTGCAGGAGAAAAAGGGAGATGGGATCATATTTAAATAATGGGCTGAGGGCTTCAGAGTGTGTTAAGAAAACAGGAGGAAAAAAACTCACTCCATTGCAGCAAGTGGCACTGAAGAACCGACACGGGCCCTTGGTGAAGGAGCTGTGATGGATGGGAACAGAACAGCTGTGTGGAGATCAGACTTGTGTGAAGAGATAGAAGAGAATCTCCTACTTTCACTTTCTTGTGGCCTTCAGGTGGTATCTGTATGGATCAAAGAATTAAAGCAAGTCAATATATCAATGGGCAGAAATAAAGTTATTCAACAACAACAGTGTCTTTGAGTTTAAGCCACGGACTCCAGCATTACATTGCATGTCCAAAATCCACTGATCCAACAGACAGTACGCCCTGGCCTAGTGTACACATACGCCTTTCAAAAATGCAGATTGCAGTTTTGCTTTTGCAATTTTGCTACATCAGCTTTAGCAGCCAGTTATGATTTGTCAGTGTAATCTCAGCAGAAAGAGACATTAAACACTGTGGATTAGTAATATAGTAGGAAGTGCTGCAATATTAGGTTTAGCTGAGTGCCAGAAAAAGCAGGCAGCCTCTCATAAAATAACCGATTCTTCCTGTCTGCTCACTGGGCAACTCTGAGTGTGAACTCATAAAAGCGTGTTTACATCAGCCACATTTATCATCCAATAATCACACAATCATGTCAAATATTCTTACAATAATATCTAACGCATGTTGACATGGCTAAAAGCATCCTAATGCAATGTAATGTAAGTGTAAACAACTTGAAGGTGTGCAACAGTGAACGCAGAATCACACAAGTGATCATTCATTTACATACTCACTTGGACACAAACATTAACACTAAGCCGACTATTTAAATCTTCATTAAACTGGTTGTGTTTGTTCCGCCCCTGTCTATACTGAAATCCAAATGCTCCACGATTCGCGGTTAAAAAAAAGTGGTAGGCAGCGTCTGCGCACCATAACGTTTTTCGTCTCCAGGCAAAGATCACTGTAATCAGGGGAGGTTAGCTAGCTAGCCTAGCCACATGCTAACGCAGCCACAGCGGCGCAGGACAGAGCTAACGCTAGCGGGCTAACGTTAGCCACGGGAACATAACAGCATAGAAGTAACCGCTGCAGCGACACCTTTGTTAGTGAGTGGTGCATGTAAACAGTGGTGAGAAATTCTGCATTTACATACCTGGAGCGTCGAGTCAAGCCTGCTGAGTATTCCGGATGAAATGCCAGTCTACCGTAGGTTAGCTACACCCCCAAATAACATTAGGTCCCGTCTTCACATCCGCAAACGGTGCTCGGATGCTCTCTTGTTCGAGCGCTGTGGCTCCAGGGGCCGAAAAAATGGGATTTGCGGGTCATTTAAATGGGTGAAAATTCCCCCGCGATTTCCCAAATCGCCCCACAAACGGTGTCGTTTCACGTATGCATTTATTTGCCTCTGAGGGCATTCCCTCGGCTGGCGAAAAAAATATGCATTTTGATATAAATAGCTAGCTAGCTATCAGCTAGCTTCTGAGCTGCTGCCCGCGCACGGGAACATGAATAAACCAAGAGTTAATTGGCATGCTCACAACACACACACACACACACACACACACACACAAACACACACACACAAACACACACACACGAAACCTAGTGTGTGTTGTGTGTGTGATAGCTTCAATGTAACACTCTTGTAAAAGTTTTCACATCTATTCCTGTTGTCCCAAAGGGTAAAACGTGTAAGTCAATACTATCATTAAAAAATAATGACAGCTGTCTTTAATTTATGAACATAATTTTTCCCCTGACAGATATTATATTTGGAACAATGGAGGCATATTATATAAACACAAATCATTATTCTTGGAAAACTGGTTTATTCAAGGAATCCATCTGGTTAACCAGCTCCTCAATTCTTATACTTCACTTTGGACAAGTATAATATTTAACTACCACCAAGGGAATGTGCTTTAGTGTTTGATGAAATCCCTTCTGGTGTCATATTGCTTCTTAAAAACTCCATAGTATCTGAACTGACTTTACTACCTGTGGATCCTGTTATTACTGGTGTTAGTCGGATCTGTTTCTCCTCTAAAAATCTAAAAAAGAACAATAATAACTGTGCTATATGACTTTAAAATGATTCACTGTGTCTTCACTGTTATCCCACCAAGGTATTTCTACAAAGACATAAAAAGGACATTTAACACAGAAACACTTATACACACAATCCTCATTCATACACTGTACACAGTCGCAAACCTCTGAAAGGGGAACTGATTCGAGGTGAGCCATGTTTCAGTGGGACCTAAATTACCATTACAACAGGTTGTTTATACCGGAAGTGCAGGACTGTGGCACGCCGACTGGTTGGTCGAAGCGGCTGGAAAATACAGTTTGAGGCCACTCAACATGAATATTTTCCTTATAGTTTAAATAACTATTTAAAGTGCTCGGTCTTTTAGCAAATTAACACGTCTAATTAAAATTTAATATGTCCTGACACGTCACTAACACACCACAGGATGTTGGTTGGTTACAGCAGCAGCAGCAGCTCGGAGGAGGAAAGTGAGGCGGCGGCAACAGCGACTCAAAACAGAAGTTTGTCACGAAAGTGTCAAGAGGAAGATGGTGGTAACGACGACAGCCCAGAGAAAAAGAAACCCAGAATTGAGGAACAGGTCCCTAAGACAAGGTGTGTGGCGGCTCAGGACTTACAAACATGATTTACCAGAGACTGTATAGGAACGCAGAAAACAGCATTTCTCAAATGTTAACGCAGGACCAAGTGTAGCCATTGAATGTTGTAATGTCACTGATGAGCTTCTGGCCATGGCCGACCCCTGGGTGATAAACCTGTCAGTGTTACTGGGCTGTGTCTCCATCAGGCTGCCTCTCCCTGGTTGCCTGTTGGCCATGTTTCCAGATGAAGTGGACCCACAGACTGAGGACAGCTCCCGTCATGGTGGACGCCTCCGCTCCTTCAAACATGAGAGAGGCAACTGGGCCACTTATGTTTATTTTCCATGTAAGACCAGCATACTCTATTGATGATGATTGTTTGATCAGTTTTCATTTATTTAACCTGATTCCTCACCTAATTTAGATTATTGTCTGCGTGTTTCCCCCTCTGTCTCCTCTCCACATCAGACAATGCTGAGGAGGAGTTTGGGGAGTTATTGGAGGAGCTGCTGTCATTAGCCAGGGCCCGTGGTGTGGTTTTGACCCCGCAGGAGGAGTTCCACCTCAGCCTGTCTCAGACAGTGGTGCTCAGACATCACTGGATCCAACCCTTCACCCAGAGCCTCAGGGCAGGCCTGGTGCACTGCAAGAGGTTTGCTCAATACACATACACAGGAGGATGTGATCTTTCTTTTTATTTACATTTTATTTTAATTTGATTTGTTAGTTTTTTCACATAAGTGTGAGCATGCCAAATGACATGTACAGTAGGGAATACACTATGAATAAGTATCTAATACAACCGCACGTCAGAAAATATAAACTATTCCTTTAATCACACATGTGACCAACACGTAAAACGCTTAATGCAAAAGATTTCAGAAAAAGGGTTGTGCTGGTTAAAACATCACAACAAAACAAGGCAAGGCAGTAAGACCAAAGGAAATTAAATGATAACAACAAAGAGAGGAGAGTGCAGTCATATATAATCACTGTATTACCATCAATATGATGACTATCTCAAGGCAAGGCGAGTAAAACTGTACTGGCAGCTGCCTAGAGGATCACTTGCACAGGAGTGGGTGGAATCGTGAAAACAGTTAAGAAAAAACATGATGTTTACAACAGAAGCTGACACTATGGTGGAAATTTAATTCCTGCTGTTTCTTGTTGCCAGGTTTGTGTGCTCAGCGGGCAGACTGAAGGTCTATTGTAACGCTGAGAGGACGAGGTACAGTCACAGCCTTTAATGGTCTCTTTTTTTTATAATGAATACAGTATAAATATATATGACTTGGTCACTGGCCAATGTGCTGTAAGCTGTGTGGCACTATTTAATTGTTACTATTGCCAAAAAGTTATTGACTTATCTGTTTGTTTGTTTGTTTGTTTGTCCCTGAGCATTGATTATTAATGGCTGGACTGCCTGTGTGTGTGTCTCTCTGTTGTACCCTGTAGGACATTTCTGGGGATGGAAGTGTGTACTGGGCATGCTCAGCTGTTGCACCTGGTCCAAGTAGTGGACAGAACAATGACAGAGTTTCACCTGGACACTTTCTATAAGGTCACTGTCTGATCAACACACTTTAATACACACAGATAGATTTAACCCTCTGAGGTCTACTAGACCAGTTTGTGTCACTCTTACATTAGAGTTAGTCTTTTCCTGGTGTTGAAGTATTGATACCTGGGTAAATACGGTGACTCTGCAGGGTCTGAACTAGTTAATGGGATGTTCGTCTTTACTGTAACAAGTGTTTCATTTGAATTTTGATTAAAGCTTATGGGACTGCTGTGTTTTTACAATCAAATACCCAGCACAGTGTTCAGTATGATTTATTGTAGAAAGAATTAAAACTGAAGCAGTGCACATGGGCGTCTTACCTCCATGATGTTTGCTCTGGTGTGTTTTCTAGGATCCATCTTTCCACGTGAGTCTGGCCTGGTGTGTTGGAGACTTGACAGAACAGATGAAGGAGTGCATACAGGGGATGCAGGTTCATTTTTCCTTTTAGATCATGACACTGTTCCACCAAATTGACAGTCAATTCTAAATCCAGAGGCATACTGATGTTGCTCAGTCCATTTTAAAGTGCCCCAATAAGTTTGACCCATATATTAGCAGTCTGTCACTGCTGTATCAGTATCAGCATACATGCTTGCTAATAAGATACTGCAGTACAAAAATACCAAATGTATGAGTGAGATAATTTATAAGCTGTTTTCTATTACATACTTTCTCCACCAGAGAGCACTGACAACTATATTTATTAACTTTAAAATGCCTGCTCCATATGCCATAATTCTTTAATTACAAAAAATGTGTTTCTCTCTAAAATTGAATATAAGCCAGCATACTGTTTACCATTTTGAAAGCCCTGAACTTAGAGTCAGGCTCTAGTTAGGCCTTAGGTTTTATGTACAAGTTCTTCAAAATCATACAGCAGTCTGTTGTTTATTGCATGTGTATTTTGCCATTCAGACAGGTGCAGGAATGATTCCTAAAACCTCGAAATGAGTTA